ATGACAGAAATGATGCTTCTTCTCAGCCATGAGATGAAATGATGTTTACGATTATATAAAAGGTGGCGCCACTTTCCATACAAACCGTCCTTCTTCTAAGTTTCCACCCCCTGACTGAGACAGCGGCGGCCGGCCGACTGGCTCGATGCGCCAGCGACGACCGGTTCTCTCGTCGCGTCGTTGCTACGCGCGAAATTACGAATATATAAAACGCGTTCGCTTGTCCGCCTCAACGTACAGATTACTATTAATATATCTACTTATTATACAAACAATATATATTTTATTTATACAATACTATATTTAAATAATTAAGTTCTACTATTTAATACTAACTATAACTAATAACATAAGTATAATAATTTAAAACAATAAATGCGTGGAGGCACGCCACATCACCCCCTTCCAGAGCCCGTCAAGGGCGATAATAGGATGGAAAACGCACAATACGGCCTGAACGTGTCCTTCGGATATCATCATCTTTGGGTTCAGCGAGTGTATTGTGTTCTGGTGGCCCGCTCTGTGTAGTTGTGTGTGAGTTAGTGTTAGTTAGTGATGGAGTATCGTGTGTGGTGTCTGTGTCGTGCAGTATGTAGGCCGGCTTAATGCGGTCTACCGATACTGTGACCGGATTACCACGAAGAAGAATTTTAAAACTTTTATCACCTCTTTCTATAACCTCATGAGGTCCGGAATATGCAGGTGTAAGGGACCCACGGCAAGTATCATCGCGCAAGAATATATGCGAAGCAGTTGCGAGATCCTTGAAAATAAAAACTGACTGCTTGCCATGCCTAGAAGCGGGGGTTGGCTGTAGCTTCTTGACAAACGACTTGAGACGTGACAAGTAGTCGGTGACGTCAGTTGAAACCTCTCTACCGGGATGTAAAAATTCACCAGGGAGTCTCAGCGGCTCGCCATAAGTGAGTTCAGCTGACGAGGACGACAGATCTTCCTTGTAGGAGTTCCTAATGCCCAGCAAGACCAAAGGGAGGGAATCTACCCAATTCGAAGTGGAGTGGCAAGTGATGGCAGCCTTTAACTGGCGGTGAAATCTTTCCACCATGCCATTGCAAGCTGGATGATAAGCCGTAGTGCGCCTGTGTTGAAAGCCTACGAGGTCAGAGAGACTCTTAAATAAGGCCGACTCGAACTGCCTACCCCTATCGGTTACTATACTTACTGGACAACCGAACCTGGAGATCCATCCATGCAGTAAGGCCTTAGCAACAGCCTCAGCGGAGATTTCCTGGAGAGGTACTACCTCAGGCCATCGCGTGAATCTATCGATTGCTGTGAGGCAGTACCTGTATCCTTGGCACAAGGGTAAAGGACCGATCAGGTCAATGTGAATGGTCGTGAATCTAGAGCTCGGAAGTTTGAAAGAGCTGAGTGGTGAGGAGACATGCCGAGTGACCTTAGATCGCTGGCAAGCGAGACAGGTCCTTGACCACTCTCGACAATCTTTTTTGATTCCTGGCCACACATAACGATCGGAGACTAATTTTAGGGAAGCGTTCACCCCTGGGTGACTGAGCGAATGGAGACAATCAAATACTTGTCGTCGGTATATTTTCGGGACATATGGTCTGACGTTCCCGTCTCTCTCCTCACAGTACAGCTCCGACTTGACGCCCGGCAGTTTCATTCTCTTCAGTTTTAACGAAGTGGCGCCTTCCAGGAGAGTCTGCAGTTCCGTATCTGAGCCTTGAGCGTCTGCTATTTGACCCAGATCAACGGGTTGTGCAATTTCTTCGATCCTGGAAAGGGTATCAGCCACGACGTTGTCCTTGCCTGATATGTGCCGGATGTCAGTAGTAAACTGGGATATAAAATCCAAATGTCGAAACTGACGCGGTGAACAGTTCTCCTTGCGAGAGTGGAATGCGAAGCACAAAGGTTTATGGTCAGTGTAAACCACGAAGTCTCTAGCCTCGACCATATGACGAAAGTATTTGATTGCCTCGTAAATCGCAAGTAGTTCGCGGTCGTAGGGAGAGTACTTCTGCTGCGCTGGGCTTAGTTTCCTGGAGAAGAAAGCCAAAGGCTGCCATCCTTTGTCCTCGTTGTACTGCTGCAACACAGCACCTAAAGCGGTGTCGGACGCGTCGGTTACGACAGCGAGTTTGGCATTGCAGTCGGGGTGGGCGAGGAGGGCTGCCTGGCATAGGCCTTTCTTACAATTAGTGAAAGCTTCTGTCTCTGCTGGGGTGAAGTGGACGGGATGAGAGCCCTTCACAGAGCCTTCTAACAGTGCGTTCAGGGGAGCTTGGTATTTTGCAGCGCCTGGAATGAACCTCCTATAAAAATTGAGCATCCCGAGGAACCTACGGAGCTCACGTACAGTTTTGGGCGTAGGAAACGTTTGTATGGCATCAACCTTTGCAGGGAGGGGCTTGGTACCTTCGGCAGAAATTAGGTAGCCTAGGAATATAACCTCTGAAGCGCCAAACACACACTTAGAACAATTGATGACCATACCATACTCGTGCAGCCTGGTGAACAGAATACGGAGGTGTCTTCTGTGTTCTTCTGGATCCCTCGAGAAGACTAGGAAGTCGTCCAAGTACGGGTAACAGAAGTCCAGATCCCTCAGCATCTCATCCACAAAACGCTGAAACGTCTGTCCAGCGTTACGTAATCCGAGGCTCATAAACGGAAATTCGTAAAGTCCGAACGGCGTAGAAATCGCAGTTTTGTGGATGTCAGCGTCGTGAACTGGTATCTGATGGTACGCCTTTGTCAGGTCGATGGTGGAGAAGACCTTACACCCTGAAAGACTGTGTGAAAAGTCCTGAATATGGCGGATAGGGTACCTATCTGGAATAGTCCTGGCGTTCAGCATCCTGTAATCCCCACAGGGACGCCAACCATTGTCCTTTTTAGGGACGAGGTGCAAGGGAGAGGCCCAGGAAGATTCGGAGGGTCTGGCTATGCCACTCTGCAGCATAGAAGCAAACTCCTCCTTGGCAATTTTTAATTTATCTGGAGCTAATCTACGGGGGGTACAAGAAATAGGTGGGCCGGGTGTAGTACGTATGAAGTGTACTGTGTTGTGTTTAGGTGAGGTGTGTGTACCATGTGGACGTGTGATGTCAGGATATTCGCGTAGTATGTCGTGATAATCAGACTCACCAGTTACGCATTTTACCGAAGAAATGATATCCGACGGTCGAGCAAGCGAAGCCACAGTCGACAAGCTAGTGTTATTGTCGATAAGTCGTTGATTCCTGCAATCAACAACCAAATTAAAAAATGATAAAAAATCCACACCTATTATCGCCTTTGTAACGTCGGCCACCATAAATTGCCAAGCAAAGTCGCGGCGCAAGCCCAAGTTCAACACCAAGTTGACATGCCCGTATGTTGGTATGAGCGTTCCGTTAGCCGCACACAAATCATAGTCCGTACGAGCCCGGCGTTCTTTAACATAAATACGGGGGAAAACACAAAGATCACTGCCCGTGTCCACTAAAAATTGTACTTTAGTTTTTCTGTCCGTA